CAAAACTGCCAGCGCTTCCCTCTCACCTTTCTAGTTTGAACAGACCTATGGTAATGCGCTAACATCTCCTAAAATAGACCTCGATCCCATGAATCAACGCAAAGAGTTTAATACGGACTAAACTTTTCACATAAAGACATTTTTCGTTGCGGTTCGTTTTTGGAGCTTTGCTTATTATCAAAACTGCCTTTAACACCTTGTCTGCTACTATCACAGACTGAGATTTTGTTTTTGTACATCCAAGCCAACGCATGGGTCATTCTACCAGTCATTTCATAGCATTACCACACATATTATACCCAATTTTCCGATCTATAAAGTTCCTGATTCCTTAGAAAAATGCGTTCTTAGCCGATCGCAAATAACCCTTTTGTTTTCATTTTCTAGGCCGTAATGATCCATTTTGAAGGGCATGATCTAAAATAGACCTGTGATACATTTTGAAGTTTTTCGATTCACAACAGTCACAGCAACAGTTTCTTAAGCGGGGTTACATGCAACCTAGTATCCCAGAGCTCAGACAGTATTATCATAAGTAGCACAATTCACTACTGCACTCGACCTATCAATTGTCTGATGAAGCAACTGCTTTTACAATAAAAGCGACTGAATTTAGAAAGCTACATGTATGCAATTTACAGAGACACTAATTTAGGAACTCCATATAGTGGTTTGGGTATGCCTTTTACCCATCGTGTTGGTAATCTCCTATTCCACTGGGTTATTATTGCTGCAAGATGTATACAGTCACATGTGTTAGGAAGAATGTTTGCGAGGAAAGGATACGAGGTATTTTCTGACTTTGTTTTCCAAATGATACTCCTTGCCAGTTCAATTACTATGTCCTACATTTTTTAGGTAGATATTATTAAATCCGAAGCTGAAAGGATTATCTACGCGGGCCGCTCTGAATTCCTTTTTGATGTGATTCGTCCAATAAATAATCGTATAAAGTACTTTGGAAGCAATATGCAGATGTGAGCTCAACATGTACGAGCTGATCTCGTTACATAGAAAATTTCTATAAGGAGTTATTTATCAATGCCTTCTTTCCAGGACTCCAAGCGACTACGTCACCGTCATACCAGAAATTAACAATGATTTTACAAAGGTCCATCAGAACGCACAGAGAACGTTACATTCTCGGAATAACACCACCACATCGAATAGCACAAGCCGGTTACCTGTAGTTCTTGCTGACTGCATGAGCTCTAGTGATCCTCTCAAAGCTACGAACAACAGTTATTCCTCGTTGTTGGCAAGGAGAAGCTATCTGTACAGTGGACTAAAGCGAAATGTGGTAAAAATGAGATTCGCTTCTGTATGCGCGCAGTTTCCTGAACTTGACTGGCCCTCTCTGACTAGGGAGAAATTCATCCTTGTTTCCTTTGGAAGTGTAGCACAGGTATGCCTGCTTGCAATATTTCAGCTCAACTCACGCAAAAAATTCACTTTAGGCTCAGAATATGCCACTGCATGTGGTAAATAAGATCTTTGATGCCTTCTCGCACTCTCCATATAAAATTATATGGCAAACAAATTCAGATT